AAATTATTTACCAATCCTGGCACTTTGAATTTTTATCAAAAATATCTAGAGAAATGTGGAGTATTTCTTAACAAACTTTACAGAACAATATTGACGTACATTTGTGTTTAGATTTAAACTTCTCGATATGCAGAGTGTTTCACTCCATCACCATTCACGAAATATGGAAATTGTGTTAAGTAAGAAAAAGTGGTCTGTCACCAAAAATTATTTTCGATTATACAAGATGTTGCATGTGGCATGATTTAGATTGTTTTTAATAGAACATTATTTTCAATATTACACCAATTCGCACTTATTATTATTACCATACTTTTCTCAAATGGATAATGCATAAGTAACATACATATCTTATATACATACTTTGGTTTGTATCTAACAGTTGTGTATAACCCGACAAGCGAGAGCTGGCGGGTTGCGCGTAGAAGAAATTGAAAAGTGTTCACCGTTTAAGTCATGTACATCGTGTACATCGTGTATAACCGTTTAAGTACCTATACTATATACCTATAATCGCGATTAAGTACCTCTCCTATCTCTCTTAGAATAATTTCCTTTTCTATTTTCGAGCAGGTCACCCGCCAGCTCTCGCTTGTCGGATTATAAATATTTCTTAAATGATGAAAACCTAACCTAACTTAACATTTATTAATTTTCTTATTTTTATTGCAAATAAAATCCAGAAAATTTACTCAACAATGAAACTTAATTAATTAAATGGTTTCTGATGCAAAACTGTCATAATAATATAAATAATAAAAAAAAAAACAAAAATTTATTCCGTCACATCCGTAGGTAAAAATCAATGTAATACTGGCAGAATTTTTAAGATATTCAATGTTATAAAATGACCTATCTATAATCTAAAACTTTTTTTGGTTATGTGAAACACATAACTCTGAAACGATATAACTATTCTCTGTTCACAAATTGTTGATAGCACGAAATATGCCTCAAAATCATCAAACGGTCGTAAAATTTGTATCATCATAGGCGTTCTTGAGGTGTTTATTCATTAAAATTAATATTAATAATGTTTTAATACTGATATATTTAGTAAAAAACAATTAAAACTTTCACGGCTAATGTTGGTTATTATATTATATTAATAAAAATAATAATTTAACCATTAACAATTTTGTAAATAAGAATACTATCTTTGGATATTTCAATACTAATCTTCGCGTTTAATCACCTTACTAGAAAACCTGGTATTTATATCCGAAGGTACTATCGGTTGCAAGATAATTAGGATGGAATTCCCCAGATTTTTAATAATATAATGGGTATAGATTCCGGATTTGGCCACGTACCTCGTCTGTTTAGTTTATATTCGAAACTTAACTTAAAAGGGTGAAGTTATTACGAACGAAAACAATTTGTTTGTTTAGTACGTTTTTGATCGCATGTAATTTACGGCTCGTCGGTGTTTCCGCTTCTACGGCAGTAATTAGCGTCTCGAATATTTCTTTTGCGAATTATATGCAGTGCGTGAGTGATTTTTTATTCCATATACCTACGAACATATACGTACCTTTCGCTCGTGCTCGTTTTGTTGGATTGTTTGTGATGGCTTCATCATCAACATCATCAAGTTTTACACCGGTACTGTTGCGTACAGTCAGTAAGTCTGTCTATTCACCAAGAGAGAAGACTATTGTCCTGAATGTTCACGATGCTCTGGTTTCTCAGAATCCCACAAACACCGTTCGCAACATAGTCGAAAGTTGTGCCAACATGACTGGCATAGGGGAGTCAACTATATATAGGTTCCTATCAGAAAGAAAAAAACACGGTATAGCTAACCCAAACACAAACGAACACTTAAAGAGAGGGAAAAAGCCTATTGAACTTGATGAATTTGCCAAAAATGGTATTCGAAGGAAAATTCATGGATTTTTTTTTTCAATAAAGAAATACCAAACCTAAATAAAATTTTACAAGAAGTTAGAGATGATCCGGATTTGCCTCATATCGGACGAACTAAATTGTGGCAAGTTTTAAAAGAATTAAATTTCCGGTGGGAGAAATCAGACCGAAAATCACTTTTGATTGACCGGGAGGAGATAATATGTTGGAGAAGAAATTATCTAAGATCCATACGAAAATTCCGGGCTGAAGGAAGGCCAATCTTCTACCAGGATGAAACGTGGGTAAACTCAGGTCATACTCTAAAAAAAGTTTGGTCAGATAAAAATATATTAAGCTCCAGGCAAGCCTTTATGGAAGGTTGGTCTACTGGTATCTCCCCACCTTCTGGTAAAGGCAGTAGATTAATAATTTCTCACATTGGCAGTGAAAAAGGATTTGTTAAGCATGGTTTGTTGGAATTTCAGTCCAAAAGCACGAAAGACTATCACGAGGAGATGACAGCTGATGTTTTCGAAGAGTATTTTGTGCAGATGATTGAACACATACCACCAAATTCAATTATAGTATTAGATAATGCACCTTATCATTCACGACTAGTAGAAAGACTTCCAACGACTGCGTGGAAAAAACAGGATATTCTTGACTGGCTGCGGAATAAGTACCTGCCTTACGAAGATGGAATGGTAAAAGCAGAACTTTTAAAAATTGCCCGGCAACACAAATCTAAGTTCAAGAAATACGTAGTTGACAAAATGGCGGAAAGGAGAAACATCACAGTCCTTTATGTGGCTAGAAAAAATACGTCATATAAAATACAAGCTGTACGTGAATTGTTATACGAGTCTTTACAACACATTACAGAACAAAACTGGAAAGATGCAGTAAGACATGTAATAGAAGAAAAACAAAAAATGTTGGATCTTGCTAACATAATTGATGCGACCGTAGAGACACAATCGCTAATTATTAACCCTCAAGACGATTAGGATTCTGAAGTTGATCCTATTTATTTTGAATTTAAATAGTTTTCTAATCGTAATTATATAAGGTAAGTGATAGTAGTTGTAATCGTAAGGTATTAAAGGGGAAAGGCGCAAAACGTCGCCTGTCAAAATGTTCAATGTGTTTTAAATGTATCGATTTTTTTTTCAAATCCTGAGAAAACTAAAAAGCCTTTTTGGAAAAATTTAAAGGCAGAATAAAATATTTATTAGAATAAATAAAAATTTTCTTTTGCATGCAATATTTTCAATTAAAAATTATACTATATTCTCTCTTTTATTTTCACCCCTGTTGCATAACATAATAAAATAAACATTGTAGAAGTTTTCAGGGACTTTCTGTAATATACATCAGTATACACATATATAATACCCTCAGTAATAATGTAATCTTTCATTCTGCTTTTAAATTTTTCAAAAATATTTATTAGTTTTCTCCGAATTCGAAAATAATGGATACATTTAAAACACATTTGGTGCCTTTCCCCTTAATTAAATAAATGTATCTTTTACAAATGGCAAAAAACTTTATTTTTGAATAAAATATTTTATTTTATTATAAGTTTTATTAAAACAAAAATACAATTTAAAAAATATATTTATTTAGTTCAAATAAATGTTTCAATCATATACTCTACGACACTGGTCGGCCAAAATACGTTCCTAATCGGATTATAAGCTTGACCTCTGTATTGTACTCCGGCAGATACAAGGTGGGTTAGTCGAAAACATCTTAAATCGTCAGTTTCAGGTTGGTTTTTACTATTATATCGTATTACCTATCCTCTCTGTATTTCAGTTCTCTAATTAGGATTAAACTTGTAGTGAGCTATCAACAAATTGTGAACTGAGTATAAGTCTCTATATACATCACACACCCACACTTTTAAATATATATATATATATATATATATATATAAACATATATATATACATATATATATATATATATATATATATATATATATATATATATACATATATATATATATATATATATATACATATATATATATATATATATATATATATATATATATATATATATATATACATAGTCGTAATAAGCTAGCTGGTTTGAATACGGAGTGGTGGAGGGGGGGGGCTATACAAAGAATAAATGAGAATAGAATCGAAATAGAAAAAAAATTAAATTGAGGAATAGTGAATAACCAGAATAGTTAATTAATAGAAAAGTTGAGCGTCAATTACTTTTAGAAGAAAAATAGTAAGTTAAAAAATAAATAAAATCAAAAGAAATTGGAATAAAATAATTATTCGAAGAAAAATAACAGATATGTGACCCCTACGTTACGACCTTACAATATCTTTTAGAACCTTCAAATACCTGCGTAAGATTTTTTTCAGCTTTTTTTTCTTTACTGACCTAATAAAGACAGAACTAATTATGGAGATCTGGGTGTTATATTCCCATTGGTCGACAATATGACAAGGTTTTACAGTTTAAAAAAGATCTTGTATCGACAACTGGATTTATTTAAAACAACTTACGGAAAAATCACTAGAATACGGTAGCCAACTACATTTGTTCTGAGGTTTTGATTTCAGAATGACATATGATAAGGTGAAAATGAATGTGAAATGAACATTAATTTAGCTGTGGCATCAGAAGTTTGATGCGATTTTTACAGGGGGGGGGTCTTGGCGCCCGTTAATTGGGGGTTCCGACAGCCGTAAAATCCCCGACGACCAAAAAAATCGTATCGAATTTCTGATGGCACAGTTGAATTTATTGGAGTTTTTTCTATAAGTAGTCCAAATTTGAAGTTACTATCAATAATTAACAAAATCTGGGATAGCTAAAAAATTATCAAAATTGTTGCCACAATATATAAATGCAGTGAAAAATGTCTACATATAAAGGGAATATTGGTTGCGTCAGGAGAAGACAAGGATGTTCAAAATAGTTTTAAGTTGACAATAATCTAAGACAAATATGTTTTCTCTGTCTTATCTCCTTTAAAATATTTTTTTAAACTCAGATCTTAAATATTGGTACAATAATTTTAGAATAATAGTATAAAAATACTGGTTTCGACAATTAGAAATATTCGGATTTCGAGTTTCGGGATTTAAAAATAATTTCCTGATTTATTGTTTTTTTAGGCGTCTGAGGTGTTCAAGGAATACATTACATATTAATTTATTTATTTCATTTATATTAAGATCGTTTATGTCGATCTTGAAAGACGCTATACTTGTAAGAGGAACTGCACTATCTGTCGATGTTCAGTATGACAGTGAAGGTTTGCCAGTCTTTTCAGCAAGTCATAGCTATGTAAGTACTAGAAAATGATAAAATAATGTTACACCCTACATTATAAAGTGTAGCAATATAAATGAGATCGTAGGCTTCCACGGCCAGAGTCAGAATTATAATTTATTCGTCTTCCGGGTTTGGACCGTGTCATTTGTGAGTGACCCAAAAGTGGGTTCATCTCGACGTTTCGCTACAATTGTATGTAGCTTCTTTAGGAGAACAAAGAAAAAGAAACAAAAGACAGGTAGTTAGCAACGGTAACTCAGTTACTCAACGCAACCAGAGGCGAATACTAACTACCAAGATGGGCATTTGGTCACAGTAACTCAACTACTCAACGCAGCCAGAGGTGAAAACCAAATGCCAGGACAGGGATTCACGTCCAACAGCTCAGAACACTAACGCGTCGAGAGGCGGGGAGTGAATCCGACGATTACTCCGCTACCGCTCTATTTATAGTCGCGGTGACCTGTCGTGTCGGGACGTATCGGCACACTTCGTGGCGCAAACGTCAAGAAGCGCGCGCTGGCCAATCATGTGGCTGCATCGTGGTAGCGGGACCGGACGGAGGGTCTAGACTGAGATTCCAGATGGGAGACAAGTAGTATCCTTCCTCTCGATTGATGTTATGTGGATTTTTTCGGATCTCTAGAGATTTGCGGATTTTCCTGGAATAAAAGAAGGGGCTCTTAGAAATAATATGGGTTTTTTCGAACAATATGGAATGACCGGTTTCTTGGCAGTGTTCTGCAACTGCAGAATGGGAGAAAAGACCTGATCGAATGCATCTTTGATGCTCTTGAATCTGAGTTTTGACGGAACGACCAGTTTCGCCAATATACACATGTCCACATGAACAAGGAATAGAATAGACACCACAGGAAGATAGGGGCGGTAATGGATCCTTAGGAGAGGGTAGATATTGTGAGATTTTCTTGGGTGGTCGAAAAGTAGTCCTGATACCTTCTTTGCGAAGAATTTTGCCAATCCTATCAGTGACATTTCGAATATACGGAAGAAAAGCCACAGGAGTATTACTTGAAGATTCTGAATTTGTCGTCCTAGGGTGTAAAGGGGGATGTAGATGTCGGTGTGTAATATTTTGAATTGTGGACTTGGAGTAACCGTTGGCGACAAGGATTTTTTGCAGATGGCCAAGTTCTTCTCTAAGGTTGTCGGGTTCAGAAATCGAAATGGCCCGATGGATGAGAGAGTTGATCACAGAATTCTTTTGGGCAGGATGGTGGTGTGATGAAGCATGTAGGTAACGATTCGTGTGAGTCTTTTTTCTATAAACAGAGTGACTCAATCGGCCATTGGGCTTGGAGGTGACTAACACATCGAGAAAGGGAAGGGACCGATTATTTTCTACTTCCATTGTGAATTTTATACTCGGATGTTGTGAGTTAGTGTGTGTAGGAAGGGAGAAAGGGTATGTTGACCATGGGACCAGATGATAAATGTATCATCAACGTAGCGGAACCAGACTTTTGGTTTTAAGGGGTAAGATTCTAGGGCTAAAGACTCAAAGGCAAATTGGTGTTCCAGATATTTGTTTGTAGAAATTGCCTCTAAAAGAAAAATATGTTGAAAGGAGGCATTTTTCCGCAAGATCTGCCAAAACCAAAGACTTGTTATCATTGGTCAAGTGATCTCGCAGAACAACTAGAGAGTCATGTATGGGGATATTGGTAAATAGGGATGATACATCGAAACTGACGAGAATGTCTTGGGGATCGACCGTGAGGGAGGAGATTAAGGTGATGAAATGTGTGGAATTTCGGACATAAGAAGAGGTACGACCAGTATAGGTCTTAAACTGATTCGACAAGTACTTTGCGAGTTTGTAGGTAGGAGAGTTAATCGTAGTCACAATGGGACGAAGAGGTACGTTGTCTTAATGGATTTTGGGAAGACCGTAAATTCTGGGGCAGATGGAGTTTCGGAACTATGGACTTCTTAACATCATCGGAAAGATCGGATTGTTTGATGGCATGGGAAATTTCGCGTTCGACTCTAGGAGTGGGGTCTTGAGAAATTGTATTATAACAGGATGTATCCCTAAGTAAGTCGTTTACTTTCTCTATGTAGGAAGGAGTATCCAGGATGACTGTAGCATTACCTTTGTCTGCAGGAAGGATTATTATCTCAGAAAGAGAACGGAGATTTTTGAGAGCTATGAATTCCTCACGAGATATATTGGACATAACATAAATCGAGAGGAAGGATACTACTTGTCTCCCATCTGGAATCTTAGTCTAGACCCTCCGTCCGGTCCCGCTACCACGATGCAGCCACATGATTGCCCAGCGCGCGCTTCTTGACGTTCGCGCCACGAAGTGTGCCGATACGTCCCGACACGACAGGTCACCGCGACTATAAATAGAGCGGTAGTAATCGTCGGATTCACTCCCCGCCTCTCGACGCGTTAGTGTTCTGAGCTGTTGGACGTGAATCCCTGTCCTGACATTTGGTTTTCACCTCTGGCTGCGTTGAGTAGTTGAGTTACTGTGACCAAATGCCCATCTTGGTAGTTAGTATTCGCCTCTGGTTGCGTTGAGTAACTGAGTTACCGTTGCTAACTACCCAACTTCCTGTCTTTTGTTTTCTTTTTCTTTTTCTTTGTTCTCCTGAAGAAGCTACATACAATTGTAGCGAAACGTCGAGATGAACCCACTTTTGGGTCACTCACAAATGACACGGTCCAAACCCGGAAGACGAATAAATTATAATGTAGCAATATACTCGGTTACCTCTTGTGGATTAAAAATAAAAGTGTACTGAACCTATAAATGGCAATTACTTCTGCGTCTTTATTTTTAACTGTATATTTTGTTATGTCTTCAATCGTTTTTCAATCAACGCTTCATATAATTTTATTCATATTTTAAACTATTCCATATTCAGAAAATAGAGTCGGTATTCATTTACTGCTTTCTTGCACTCTCATTACAAAACCCAACAGATTAATTGCATATCTGAATACTTTTCCGGTTAAAACTCTCATGTTATGGTATATTGGCAGTTTAAAATTCACAATTATCGAGGTATGAAAGGAAGGTTGTCGAAAATGTTTTGATTATTAATTTATCGCTACTTAACTTGGAAATAAATATCACTGCACCTATATTTTGGACATAACTATAATGGACAACTTGTATATATTCTAATTGCAGGTTTCCGAAATTTTATATATTGCTATTTTTATTTTAGTCATGGACCTGCAAAGCATTGAATGGTATACGATATTATTTTATTATATCGAATTTTATGTTTATGTTAATGGAAGGACTGTATCTTCACAATTTAATGTTTTTGAAACTTTTTTCTGACCACCATAGTGTGGGTATTTACTGTGTTTTGGGATGGGGTAAGTATTTTTCTGCGTAAATGAATTAATCTACTGCCAAAGTATTTTTAATTAATTTCCAGGGCTACCCCTTGTCTTTGTAATTCCGTGGATAACCTTAAGAGTATTATATGAGGATCTCATGTGTTGGACAACGAAAGATAATATTTATATTTCATTATTTATAGATTTACCGATATATAGTACAGTTGTGGTAGGTGTTTCTTTAATAATTAAAATATATTTATTAGTATACTTTACCTAACTTCAATTAAAACGATGCCATGCATGTGCGCATACAATACAATATTCACATTTTAACTTTTATATCACACAATATGTTCTTCATCGTTCCAATTGACCTACGATAAAGTATACTCACAGTTTAATTCAAATGACTACTTATTTAACTGTATTTCTTTTCAGATAAATTTTATTTTGTTTCTTATAATCGTAAGGGTTCTTACCGCTAAATTAAATAACATTTGTTTAGAACAAAGAAAATTTAAATACAGGTTAGTACTAAATATGATACACGTTTCTTGATATACGCTTCAATATTTGAGCCACTTAAAGCACAAGTGGTGTAACTCCATTTTCCATTAATTTTTGTTCAGGTCTAAATCATGTTCCGCATTAAGTATTTTATATTAGCACAAATGGTGTAAGTTATATTGTGTAGTTATATATAAGTCATATAGTAACCATGCAGATAGCTAACACATCTTGTGTTGTCAGTGGAGTCACTTATCTGTTGACAGCCAAAGTGAAGTACAAGGGATATACACCACTGTTCCTGCAACTGTTTTGGTTTTCACACGTGTTTGTGGATGTTAGTTTTTGATACATTCATAAGTTTTATTTGCATATTTAATTGTATTTATTTGTGTAGTTAAAAATTAGTTTTTTTGATGAAGATCTCTCAGAGCCAAGCCAAATCAACAATTTAGGTTGCCATAAGCTTTCAACAAGATAGGGATTCACGTATTGTTGGGATGAAGTGACTGGATCTAGAGATGCGCAAGAAATCATGGTTAGAAATCAGCATCATGATTATCAGCATCAAAATTCAGTGGATTCGATACCAAAAGAGTAATTTCTCTTTAAGGAGACTCTTTCGGATGAAATGCCATTCTTTGGCTAGACCTAAAGCCGGGATCTAAAAAGGAAGACCAGGATCTTTAGCTAATATAGATCAACCAAAACTATACAGTGGACCTCAACCTGTGACCAAAGGGAAAAAAATGACATGAGAGACTTTTCCCTTTTATTCCACTTATTCAGTATCCCTATTTTGAGAATCTGTTTACTTCAGAAAATGCTCAAGACATAGAGCCATTACAGTTAGATTTCAATATTGAAGATGAATAAAAAACTATATAAATAAAGCGTTGATAAATAGAGGTTAATTTAATGTTTTTACTTCCTTTTTTTTATTTTTATTTAAGAATATATATATATATATATATATATATATATATATATATATATATATGTATATTATATATATATATATATATATATATATATATATATATAATAAGTGTTAATAACATTGACTGCTACATTGACTGCTACATGTCTTTTTAAGGTAACAATTAACATCGTTTCCATGATTGTGTGGTTCTCATATTGTAATTTTTTAGATGAACTGATGATGCTTTCAAAACTCGAAAGCGAAACGTCTTCAAAATAGATAAAGTAGCCTATCAACTTTGTCTTTTATTTCTCCACCTAGAGACCGATATAAGAACCCACCACTCGTCTGAGTGATCCTTATATATATATATATATATATATATATATATATATATATATATATATATATATATATATGTATGTGCGTGCATAAGTATGTATATGTGTGCATGTGTATATAGTATCCGTATCAATATTAAATGTATCTATGTTAAATAAAATGGTTATATTTTTATTAATAATAAATAAAACAAATCTTTGTTAATACATTTTCGAAAAAAAAAACTTACAATATTATATTGCTGATTTGTTATAACAATTCCAAAAAAACATTACATAACTCAAAACAACGTTAATGTTAGTTCCACCACTGGTGCTTTAAGGGGCTCATTAAAAGATTTAGTTTATACCATTATCTAGTTGTGAATTGTAACAGCTTATTTTTAATAAGATTCTTTTAAGAATCTTCTCCTAGTGATGATAAAAGTTTATTGAGCTAACACAATCAAAGTTATTTTAATTCGAATAACGTAGTAATTAAAACAAGGAGTCGTCAATAGCTTTTATAGACAACAAGCCCATGGGGCATTTTTGCCGCCAATTCTTATCGGTACAAAAAGCATTGGGGTTCAAATTATGGGTCGCGCCTTATGCCGGGTCCAGACCAAACAGACAAAACAAAAACATTCATGTTTCGCGACAAAGTGGCGACAAATCGAAAACATTTGTTGAGACATTTCTGAACAATTTTGTTTTGTTTACAAATTTGAAAACTTTTTTAGGTCCCGTCTCAGGTCGGTAAAGATCAAAAAGTCTGTGTTTTGCCAAAACAAGTTAAGCAGTAGGAAAAATAGAATGTACAATTTTTATTAAAATTAAGTGTATTTTTCTGTTACTTAGTCTCAACACAAATGTTCACTCAACTCCATCCAACTCCAACCCACAACATTTGTACTCAAATCCACCCAGCACTGACACACAACATTCATACTCAAATCCTCCCAGCATTGACACACGTTCATACTCAACTCCTCCCAGCATTGACACACATTTATACTCAAATCCACCCAGCATTGAACATTTATACTTAAATCCACCCAACACGCAACATTCATACTCAAATCCACCCATTGCTGACCTACAAAATTATTACTTAAATCCACCAAACACCAACACACAACCTTTATTTTCACATCCACCTAGTATTGACACAGAGCTTTCTCAGTATTCAGATCAAGAAAACGAACGAAATTGATGATGAACTTTTTGAATGTAAAAACAAGTAGACTCGTCATTATTTTGCATGTAGTATGTACCTATCGTCAACTTCTTTTGTATTAAACATTTAATCAATAAATATGGAGTTTATTTTAAGGGATATTAACGAAAAAATAGTAATGAAAAAAGTGCAAAATACCTGTACATAACCACTAAGACTGTTAATTAAAGCTTTACATAGTTCAGGTATTATTACAGATATTGATTGCTTTGATACTTTTGAAAGATACATTAGGCTGTGGTAGGAATCACCTGTTGCTAAAAATCTTAAAGTGATTGCTAACCTTTCTGTTACACTCATAGCATTTCTAAAGTTAGTATGTCTTTTTGCAACTGCAGGACCAACAAGGCATATTAGATTCTCAAAATCTTCGGTGTACATTCTTAAAAATTTTTTGAAGCTTGATCGAATTTCACCACTTAGTCCAATATCATCTGCTCGCATCTGAACTAACAATCTATCTATCGAACAATTTTCTCGCATTTTTAGGCTTGGTCTAATCCAAAAACGTTTGGGTTTTCTTTTAGCAACCTGGGATGATGATGAGAGCAAAAAAAAACTTGCGGCTAGCAATAAATCTTCAGTTTCATTTTTTTCTTGATTAAAACGCCACATGGTTAACCAACACTAATCACAACAACAACGTCACCAACTGAATTTGTTTTTATATTTTGTTGTTCTGGTGTGGACAGTTTGTCTCAATTTTGTTTTGTCTTTTGACTACAAATTTTGTCGCCAGTTTATCGTGTTTTTGTTTCAGAATTGTGTTTTCGTTTTGTCTGCTTGGTCTGGACCCGGCATTAGATTTCTCACCCGTGTCCCAGCCAAAATCTACGGCGGTGCAAAAAAATTAATCTATCTGCCGATTCGAAACTTTGTGTATGAATGCCCTACTGTGTCAAATTACCGAAAACGTGGAAAAGTTTTCCAAAGATAAATATTAATTCCGAATATTATCCTCATCATGTCATATACACTCCTAGGGGAGTGATTGCAGCCCTCTGTGCCTTGATAAATCTGACGATTTCTTCTCTTTTCACAACTACTTCGTAGTTCATTAGTTTTCTAAATTCATTATTACCTAAGTTTAGTGTGCCTGCTACTCTTCGAATGATTTCTCTCTCTAAGATCTTCAATATTTCTTCATCTTTCTGTGTCATGTTGTATTTCCAGTAAGTTCTGTTTCCTGTCAGAATTATTTCATTGATTACTACGCTTCTCTCATTAGTTCCATTAACGGAGACTCCAAGATATTTAAAGTGTTCTACCTTTTCAAACTCATATTCCCCAATATTTAACCTCTTTTTGTTAAGTATATTAGCTAATTTGTTTTATTTTGATTTATTGCCAAACTATTATTGGATGCTTCCCTGCGCAAATTATTCCTTTAAATTGTTTAGGTTTCTGCTAATCAGTACTATCTCGTCAGCGTACGTCACAAGTTGTTACGTCGATGGTATGTTCCTTTTATAGCGATGTTAAATAGTGACGTTGATAGAGAGTCTCTGTCGTCCTTCAGTTACTATTTCTATATTTTTGGAGATGCCGTCATCTGTTATTATTACTGCAGTCGATCCCTCCACTGTCACTTTCGTAAGCTTTATGAGTTTTATTGGGATATCCAGATTTTTCATGTCTTTTATTAGGTAGAGTCTTATTAGGCTCTCAAATCCTTGCTTTAAATATATGAAAAGGATGTGTAAGTCGATATCATCTTCGTAAAACTTCTCAATTGACTGTGTGATTATGTCTATTGCGTCTGTTGTTGACCTTCCCCCTATAAATATCTGCTGGTATTCTCCTATTTTAGTTTCAATGTATTTTGAGAGTCTTTGTCTGATTGATGATGTCAATATTTTGTAGCAGCTGTTTAACAATGTTTCTCCTCTATAGTTGTTACATTGTGTGTGTCCCCTTTCTTTAAAATAGGAATTATCCCCCTTATTTTTCATTATTTATGCATTCTTTGTTCTTCCTATATCCTTATTAGAATTTGAGACCCATCATTAGGTCGTATATTTTTCGTTGCATTTCTTTTTCGCCTTGTTTCATTAGCTCGTTTGGGATTTCGTCAGGACCTGCTGTTTATTTTTGCTTCAGTTTTCTTATCACACGTAAAACATCCTCATATGACGGAATTTCGATTTCGTTTTTATCATTAAAGCATGTTTCTTCCGTTCATTCGTGAGTGCTTTTTCTAGCCCTTAATAACTCTTCGTAATGTTTCTCTCATATTTTGACATAAATCTTAACTGTTGGTTTTTTCTTATTTTGGGATTTTACTTAATTATATACCTTTACATTATTCTTGCTATTTACTTCCAACACTTCTATAAGTTCATCAATCCATCTGTTTTTTCTATATGTACAGCATTTGTCTTTTTTTCTTCTTCTATACTCTTCCAAGCTAAAAGTTATTAAATGCGTCCAAAATACCTAGAATGCATTTGAATCGTGCGCAACAAACAAGAGCAAGTTGCCAAACTCGAATAACAGCAAAAACTTCTTTCTTTAATTTTCATTTTGTTACATGTTGTAAAGTAGATTTATTTTATTTTGATTTTTTAATGTTAATCAACTTTTATGTCCGGGTCCGCCACTGGTAACGTCACTTTGACGTAAAATGTGCGTTTAAATGAGATAAAAATTATAAAAACCATATACTAGATAAGTATGTAAGGGTGTAAACTATTCAATGACAGCAGCTGTATATCGATGGAAGGCAGTCGTATATACGTATTTCTGCCTATTGGTTGTCTTCATTACGGTGCAGCCAAATTAGAAAAGTCATCAGGAAGGAAAACATAACTTGAGCAAATCTGTATGTGTACCAAATGAGAATTGAAGGTATCCCACAATATAACTACTTGGGAACTATAATCAATGAGTCGTGGGATAATACCCAAGAGATTAAATGTCGCATCGGAAAGGCAAAAAGTGCATTCTTCACTATCAGTTCTGTGTTACACAGAGCCATACCTCACCCTAGAAACAAAAATAAGGCTTCTTAAATGTTATGTGTACTCAGTGCTTCTGTACGGAGTAGAAATGTGGACATTAAAGGCGGAAACTTTAGCAAAACTTCAGTCTTTTGATTTATGGTCATACAGAAGGTTCCTGAAGATACCATGGACAGATAAAGTCACCAATGAAGAAGTACTGCGGAGGATGAACACAACTCCGGATTTGGTCAACATCGTGAAGGGCCGTAAGCTGCAGTACTTGGGACATATAATGAGAAATCAAGGTAGATACGAGCTACTTTAATGCATTTTGCAAGGTAAAATTGAAGGAAAAAGGGCCTCAGGACGAAGAAGAATATCCTGGCTTGCTAACCTGAGAGCATGGTATAGAAAGACCTCAACACAGCCATTTCGTATAGCAACCAACAAAGTCATCATAGCCAGAATGATCGCCAACGTTCGGAAGGGACAGGCACCCGAAGAAGAAGAAGTTAGAAAAGGAGAATGTTAACAACAGAAACTTAATCAGCCTGATCCGGTTACAGTTATAATAGGAGAGCGGTTTACCCCTCGCGGGCGTAAGTTACAGTTATAGCTATAGTTATAGGCGAGCGACTATTTTTTTTACATTACTGCACCGAACCTTTTTTATTCGATTCTATATATTTTTTCAAGTTCAAATGTATTTTTTCTTAATTTTTCCAAATGGGCCGTAAATTGTTATTAACAAATAACTTATAACGAAAAAACAATTTTCCGAATCGATTCGAGTAAAAATTTTGTAGACGTATCTCATTGATATAAATATTTTTTCTCTCCTGGTAATTTTTAGAAAAATGCTTCCTTTTCGAGTTATTTGCAATTTTTTGTTGAAAAAATGCCTTAATTAGTGATTTTTGGGATTTTTTCTAAAAGTCTACTAAATAAATTACAATTCTACAAAAAATTTTATAATCTTTAATCACGTATAAATAAGAATATTTTTACAAGGATAAGTGGTTTTTTATACCTTATACCTAATATACTGTATAAAAAAGGTATATTCCGTTTCTATTTTTAAGCGTCTTTTTAGGAGTAAACCGCTCGCCTATTATTCCTCGATAATTTTTACAATTGTTCTTACCTCCTTTCTTGTACATAATAGGGATTTCGCTTGTGTTTATGCATTCTTGAGATATATATCGAATTGAAATGCTTTTATTACTAAAAATTATTATTATTTTCTTATTAAATGCTTTTATTAATTTATAAAAATCTATTTTGTAGAAAATTGTTAAAAGCAACAATGATTTTAATACCACTGTTTGGAGTTCCGTATGTATTTTCAGCACTGATGTCACTTTTTATTGTAAATAATCCTGCCTTGGACATCGTGTATTTATTTTTTGATCAATCATTCGCCGCTTTCCAGGTATAATTTAACAACCCGAAGTTTCTTAAATCCATATTTAACTCTTCGTATTTTAATGTTTTAGGGACTCTTCGCTGCTCTTGTTTATTGCGTACTGAACAGTGAAGTTCAGATCGAAATTAAAAGAAAGTATAGTTTGATAAAGGACAAAAACGACAAGGAATTTAGACGAAGCAGAACTATCTCAAACACCCAACAGGTTTCTCTAAATGTACTCGATGACAGTCCAGAAGACGAGAATGGTGAATTATGCAATGATAAAGAAATCAAGAAAATTACGTCAGTTCAAACAGATCAACAGTGTTATTTTTGACGAAGGATATTTTATATTGTTCAATAGTACATGTAATGTATTGTAAAAATAAAAACAAATATTTCTTTGATATATATATATATATATATATATATATATATATATATATATATATATATATATATATATATATATATATATATTTATTTATTTTTATATTCCATTTTTAAATAATGTCATTTTATTTTATCTCCATTAATTTGAAAGTTTTATATGCCCTTTTTTTAACTTGAATTCGACAAAACAAAAGACACTCAGAACTGAAGCTTTATTCAACAATAAAAACTAAGTAAGAATAATTTAATTAATGTGTAAAAATGGCTAACTTTAGCATACTTCGTACAAAAGCATCGTATTTTATTTGTATGTCATGCTTTCATCCGTTGGTACTCGTCGCATTAATAAGCTTCTGAAATGCTTCTCAGTCGGTAGTCTCATGAAACAATTCCTCGGCCGTTCGACCTGTCCATAGTCTAATGTTACGCAGCCAGGAGAGTTTTTTATGTCGACCCAGTGTTTTCCTTCTATTTTGCCCTGAATTGGATCTTGCTTATGTTGATGGTGTTGATCAATTGTCGCTCTTTGTGCATAATTTCTAGCACACTTTTATTGGATATTTACGAATGTCCATGTGATTTTGAGCAGGCGATGGTAACACCACAACTCGAACGATTCTAATCTAGTTATATTTGATCCTTATTGTCCATAGGTTTCATACCCATAGAGCAAAGCGGACCAGACGTAGCACATTAGCACTCTTAGATGCGTGTTCAACGAGAAACTTCTCTTGTATAATAAAGAACGACAGGTGATAAAGCTTTTTCGTGCCAGTTCTGTTCTGGTCGAAATTTTCTCGTCGCTGTCAACTCTGCAGTCAATCCAGCTGTCTATATATCAAAGTTTTCCACCTTGCCTAGGGGTTTTTATTTAGTTTTAGTAACAAGTTTTCAATATTAATTTTTCCGACCACCATCCATTCCATTTCTTTGTGTTGATGGTTAAGCCCTTTTCATTGCATTTATCGTTTAGTAAATCCAATAGAGTTTGAAGATCTTCTAAACTCTCTGCCATTATGGGGGTATCATCTGAGTGTCTGATGTTAATAATAATTTTAACAGCGATTTTAACACCTTCGCTATGAATATTTAACAATGATTTAGGTACATCATGGTCGTTTTTCGCGTCCTAGTTTCTGCCGCTTTCTATCTCGCCAGTCATCATACTCTAGATGGCTTTCGGCCATGGCTTGTCTGACCCTGTTCCACGTCTTTCTCGAGCGTCTCCTTCTTCTTCTTTGCACTAATCTCCTTTCCATAATTTTTTTTGGCCGTATGTCTCCATTCATACGGCCTAGATGTACGTACCATCAAAATCTCTTGAGTTAAATGGTGTCAATTAATGTTATCTTGAGTTCCATTATTTTCCATTTTGTCGTGAAGTGTTAGCCTACAAGAACGTCCCCCAAACCTCATTTTCATTGATAGTAGCTCAGTTTTTAAACATTCTGTCATTTTCCAGACCTTAGTTACATAAGTTGCGATGCTTAACTATAGTCTTGCAGATTCTGATTTTCCTACCTTGTCTGATTTGTGTGTTCCACAGCATTCCATTTAGTTGTCTTGTGTAACCTGCTTACCTTGTCCAATTCGTTTTTTAACTTCAGTCTCACTAGATCCCTTTTTAGTAATTGTAAACTCAAGATGACTGAACATCTCTAATTTCGACCTGCTTCTTTTCCATATTTATCAACAAACCCCAAGCCTTATATTCTTCATATATTCTGATCATATATCTTACATCATCCTCATCCTCAGCTAATATGACTTGGCCGTCAGCAAAGTACAAAGTGTTAAATTTATTGCCATCTATAGATATACCTATAACACGTGCGTGTTCATCGTCTAGTGCTGAAATTAAATAAATTCATTCTGTATCATTCTGCTATGTCCCTTGCTTGAATTTTCCAGTTATCGATACCAATCTTCTCAGCATCCTGTGTTATCCCGTCTATGCACCTCAACGATTTGGTCTATGCTGTCTTCTTATTCCCACCAGCTACGCTGTTGAAATAATTTTTATCAAGTTCGATTCCGGGCCCCCAGGAGGGGATGGGGAAGGGAAAAAGGAAGGATGATGTTGAAGCCGATTTATCTAGAATTGGGGTACAACAATGGGTAATAGAAGCGCAAGATCGTAGAGGATGGAGGGCGATAGTAGATGCGGCGAAGACTCACCCCGAGTTGTAAAGCCAGTGAAGAAGAAGAAGATTCCGGGCCCCGGGCTACATGTCATGCCCACTGTAATGGTTTCGCTTGATTATAATAGTGGTAATATCGTTTTCGCCAAACTTATGCTTGTAGATATTGTAACCTCGGAAATCTTTTTTGGGTGGTGCTAGAAAGATAACCAATGGAGACACTGCGGACGGCAGCCAGATGGTTGGTGGAGAGCGAGTCGTGGGTTCGAAACTAGCTTTTGGAACCGGGAATGGATCCAACGGAAGAAATAGGATAAGAGATATTAGAAAAGATACAGAAATAAACAAAAAGATAGATGGGTAAAATTACCAAAGATAAGAGAAGATAGAAACAGGGCGCCACTCAATTTTTTGGGGTTAAGGAGAAAATTAAGGAAACCTTAGAAAAGAAGAGAGATAAGAAAAGATATTTAGGTTCAGAGATCAAACCCAAGGAAAGATACCAACAGTAAATTATCAAATAAATCTGGTCAACGCAATATATAAACAAATAATAAATATATTAAGTATTACACTTACTTACCTACGAAACTTAATCAGCCTGATCTTTCTACAGTTCAAAAGCATAGTAATATTTAAAGATAGTAATTGTTCAGAGCTATTATTTTATCAGGGAACTTGTTAGGAGCCGACAAATAAAATACATGCATAAAACAATAACAATATATTAAACACAAAATTATGATGCTGCTAAATGCAACCCAGGTAATAAAAATACACAACTATGAAATGGTGTTATATATGTATAAAATTAAGCTATAATGTAATAAAAAAACTACCTTTACCAAGATGTATAAGGCAATCATATACAAATATAGTTTGGCGTATCTCGAGATATCATAGGAAAGATAATGAACAAAAATTATAGGAAATACAAAAGATAGCAAATATTACTTAACTCTAAATTTACAAAAAAAAAAACAAAAAGGTTACAAGAATGAAAACATAAACCAAACCGCACTTGGCTAAGTCAATTAACTATCTCGCACTATTATTTAATAAAAAACTGAGACTTGTATGTTCATAGGTAATATTTATAGAAATTTCTTGAATGGTTCAATTACATTCAAAAATCGGCAATCTTCAGGTGAAGATTTAGATGATACGTCCAGATAATGGCAGGTGATATGGTACCATACCATATTACTCGCCCAGATAATTGTAGATAAAATTACTTACAGTAGATCTTGACGAAGGCAGCTTAATTCACTGAATTTAATACTTTTCTGGTACTAAACACTGAATTTAATAACCATTAAAGGTAGTGTAGAACTATATATATATATATATATATATATATATATATATATATATATATATATATATATATATATATATAATTTAATATAGTCTAAGGAAAGAAAACTCAAATATAAAGTGTATACACACTTAGAAAATAATTCACAAAGACGATACGATAAGAAATAAAGTGAGCAAAGCGTAACACGAGATATTGGCCTTAACTCAACAACGGCCCACCAACAAGTAACTTGGTTCCCTCAAAATTTCACCAACTGTCCCTGAAAAAGGAAGAAGAAAATATTCCCCCACTCAAGAATGATAGGACAGTTGTATGTGTTTCTCAGAAGGTAAGGCCTTAACGACTATTGGAAACTTTGAGGTAAAATAATCGGTATTAACAATTGGACATAAGAAACAGACAATACTTGGGATTAAGTTATAGTCAAAAGAAACGGGCCTTCGACGAAAATTACCAATTTATGAAAAGGAAACTGCATACCAAAACGCATTATACTCTTTTCATAATGAATATTATGACGGAAGGATTGAAAACCATTCCTAATTAGGGAATTCCATTTTAGCTGGGTATCTACAATATTTTGCTATCGATACACGATCATAGGCGTATCGCACGGGGGTAAAAGGAATTAGAAATATTTAATATATTAATAATAAAAAAAATGTTACAATATTCTGCAGTCAAAGTTAAATCTTCGCTTCGAATTGCGTAGTATCTTTCTTACAAAAATCGATAGAGAGTATTCGTCTATTTTGGTTAGGCTCCATGCTTCTGACCCATTTGAAAGGATGGAGACTATAAGTGAATCGGTGTAAACAAAAACATTCTAAGTCGTTTTTTTTTTCATTTTTGACATTTTGATGGAAAATTATTCTATGAACAAAAGCGCATCTTTTGGTACAAAAACATTCCGGTCTCTACTCTCCATGTATGTTAAATAGAAAACTGAAATATATCATTGTACACTAAAAGATTCTATGTCAGTGACTCATAATGTTTTTGTAGGCAACACTATTAACATATGTGTTTGTACTGTATTAATGAATCCTGTATATTCTGTGAATCTCTAATAAAATTAAATAACCACATGTTTGATGATTGGTTTTGTGAGGTTAAAGTTGTATTTAGCATCATTTTATTGTATTCTCTTAAAAATTGCGATGGATAACGAACCAAGCAGTACCAGCGATGGAAGAAAAGTAAAAAATGAAGCTAGTGGAAACGAAATATCGTGAGAAATGCTACAGTCAAAGGTGAAGAGTACATTAATTACAAAGGTAAAGTTGTACCAGGTATCAGTTGACCCTGATTGCAGGTAAGATACGTTTTGCAGTCTATATAATAAACTAAGGTTTATTTCATTGAGATTTTTTTGATTTCATATGTAAAGAATCACAATCAAAAAAATCACATGTGCTAGCAGTAGCTTTCATGGCGTTAAAAGCAATAAGTCTAATATTTATCTATATCACGAAGGGACCGCTAGAAAAAGTCCGGATGAGGTTTGTTCCTTTGTATATAATTATTTAAACTCTGCTCCTCCTCAGTTTACGGAAGTCCACATTTACTCAGATAATTGCGGAGATCAAAATAAGAACCATGCATTAAACAGAGTGTTTTTAGCCCTTACCGGCAGTGGTCGATTCAATCCAATTGAGCAATATTATTCCATTAGAGGACACTCCTACCTTCCTTGTGACAGGGATTTTTCAATCATCAAAAGAAAACTAAAAATAGGGTATACACCTTGCACAAGATAAATGAACTTATTATTACTTCGAGTAATACGATAGATAAGTTTACAGTCAAAGAAGTTAGCACAGAAGATATACTAGATTTTCAACATTGGTGGACAACCTACTATAAAAGACGTGCATTTCTGAGGTAACAGGAGAAAAACTTATTCCTGTTAAGGATAAGATATCTTTTGGCATAAGTTCTTTTATGCACTTTACCTATGGAACAGCTAAAAGTGTGATTGTTTGTAGGTCTTTTATTGATGGGTTCATGGAACAAACCTATAAACTTTCTCAAGTTAACAATCAATCAATTGAATTTCCCACAATACTTTGTTATCCATCCGGTAAAGTACCACTTAAAAAAGTGAAGCTCTAAGATATTGGTAAGTTGTTACCTTATATACCTGATAGTGTCAGACAGTTTTATGACGAATTAATGGAGTGGCCAACAACTGATAGTCCCAATACTGGGGAAGATGAACATGACATCCAGTATGAGGAAACATGACATTTTGAGGCATTCAAAAATGACTGTATGTTTGTATTTAAAACTTTTACTTAAAAATTGTATTTTTTAGGTTAAATATACATTTTTTTAACAACATAAAGGTTTTTTGTGTCATCTTAAGAATGTAAACAAAAAAGTTCTAAGTTGACCACATTTGAACATATATATCATATATGTACACCTATTATTTTGCACTGAGAAATATGAAACATTTCATCTAAAGCTATCAAAAACATTCTCAAATCTTTTGCTATTAATTTAGATGACTAATACAGATTAGTTCTGTATTAGTCTATACAAACTGGTCTATTTAGTTTCTTGCAGTTTCCCAAAAAATGGTTTTCATGACTTAGAACGTTTTTGTTGACACCGATTTAAGTGTTCTATGCAGTCTTATACGAGTTTTTTGAGACAGATGATGTTTATTATAATTACAATGAAAATAATAGTTTTTGGTGGCGAGAATTCTTGATAGAGCAAGATAATATCTATTTTCAATTATAATGCGACTTTTTATTTACCCTGATGTGACATAAGCAATGAGACATAACAAATCTAAAAACTACCGTCCTATTAGTTTGCTCTCACACATTATACACAAATTATAAAAAAAATTATAAAAAAAGTTAGACTTCTAGACTAGACTAGACTAGACGCCAAGTTAGACTTCTATCAGCCTAGAGAACAAGCTGAATTTATGTCAGAATATAGCACTAAAGTCCACTTACTAGTGATAAAAAATCTGATAGCGGAGTCTGCAGAGTATAACAAACCATCGGCACTAATATTTGTGGACTACGAGAAAGCATTCGATACCATAAGCTATCATAAAATATTAAAGCCTTGACAGACTGCCGAATAGACCACCGCTACACTAACGTAATCAAATATATCTACCAAAATATCCTAGCTAGCTTAAGACTATCTGTACAAGAAACAAATAAATTCTGTATACAGCGAGGAGTACGACAAGGAGATACCGTCTCTCCAAAGTTATTCACGAGGCTTTTAGAACATTCTTGTAAGAGGCAGATCTGAATGAGCATGGTATCAACATAAATGGAGAGAAGCTCAGACATTTAAGATTTGCAGATGACGTCGTCCTTAAAGCCGATTGTATGAATGATGCAAAAATAATGTTTGAAAAATTATATCACGCTTCATTAGAGGTCGGACTAAAGATTAATATAAACAATGGATAAAACGTATTGTCGAATGGAGACCAAGACAAGAAGTACTACTGAGTAGACGATGCCCACCAACTAGATGAACTGACGACCTGAAGCGTGTTAGCAGTAGCTTTATGCAAGCCATACAAGACAGAGACATATGGAAACAACTGAGAGAGACCTATGTCCAGCAGTGGACACATACAGGTTGATGATAATGATGATGATGTTGTTATTGGGGTTAACCGACGTTCCTAGATATATGAACTCATTGATCGCTTCGAAGTTTTTGTCATTGATAATTAGATCTGCGTCAACATTTCTAGTTCACTTGTTTATGTTAGTTAGCATGAACTTGGCTTTATTTTTATTTACTATGTATAATCCCATTTGTTTTGCTGCTGCTACCAGCTCGGTCAGGATTTCCGTAGTTCTCTCCTTGCTTCTTGTTATACAACTTTGACACTAACTGTTATATTCATGTACATATTATTAACAGTTCGGACATATGTATCACTTACACCATTTTCCTACATTGTCGGCAACAATTTACGAAAGGCATACTATCATAAACTTTTTTGTATCTACGAATTTCATATGTGGTTCATAAGTTACTCACTGTTCTTTTTTTCTAAAAGCTTTTTAAGAGCTTTTTAAAAAAGTTTTAGGCAAAACAGGTTGTCAGTACAAGACCTTTATGCACGAATTACACTTTACTGGTCCTCTTTCGTAAGTTGGTTCTATATTCTTTCTTTTACAATACTTTCTTGCCATAAAGTCTAGAAACAGAGTTCGTTACACTTAAGTCTATAGTTGCAATACTTTCTTCGGTAACCTTTTTTATGGATATTTGATACGAAGGCTACTTTCCATTCAAGTGGCAGTTCTTTTTTGAAGTTTTTGTATGTTAATATTATTTTCTGTTTCCCAGATTTGTGCTGCATATAGCCATGTTGCATTTAAAATGCATCTATAAATCAGGAGTTTGTTCTGCAGGCTAAGATGAGATTTTCGACTCATGTAAAATGCAGCAAGAGGTACGAATATGAACATTACTAAGATTCAGTTAATTATTTTCTCAAAAATGCAAGCACAAGCTGTTTTGCTTTAAAGACACATTATCGTTGAATAAGTGACGTCGTCCAGGCACCTGGATGCGCGGGAACAGATACGGAATACTTCAGTTAATCATCGAAGACCTAATTCAGAGGAAGCGGTTAATTATCACCATGAATCTGTATGCACCCACTGCTGGACATAGGTTGTCTCCGCTGTTTCCATCTGTCTCTATCTTGAGTGACTTGCATCCAGTTATTGCTAACATGCTTCGGGTCGTCAGTCCATCTAGTTGGTGGGCGTCCTCTGCTTTGTAGTGCTTCTTGTCTTGGTCTGATAGTCTGGCGACGTGTCCTGTCCAATACCATTTCAGCGACACGATTTTTTTGATGGCGTCTGTTGTTTTTGTTCTACGATGTATTTTTTCGTTTGGGATTAGGTCTCACAGAGAGACACCCAACATTTGGCGCTTCATAGCTCTCTGCCTCTGAGTCACGCGAATCTTATTCACAACCTTTTTTCTGAGAGTTAATGTTTCCGGTCTATGAACGATTAATAGGAAGACAGAAATCGCAGCTCAAATAGGATCTACGCCGATGTCTCGGCAATGCATCATCCGAAATTCTTAGAGTCAGCATTTAACGTTTATCTATTGCCAATTGGATTACCAACCTTCGAAGGGAGACGGAAAGGGCGTAAATATAAAGGCCCGTTTTCACGCTAAGTCTTATTGTACGTTTTGTTGGATAGGACAAATCCTATACAATAAAACGTGGCATGTAAACAGCAAAACGTACGTCTTGTCGGAAGGAAACACATAGTGTGTATACACTGGACAAAACGTACGTTTTGTCGTACGTTTTATATGACCAACAAAATGTACAATAAGACGTAGCGTGAAAACGGGCCTTAAGGCATATTGCACATGCCTCATAGTTATTGCCAAAATTCAAAATCGAAAATTTATGTTATAGGTTTTAAATATAAGGCTCTAGCAATGGAAATTTTACAGCAACCTGTATTTAACAGCTTTATAGAAACTGATTTCATTTTCGGAAAAATGTAAAAACCGCATACAAAAGCTGCACTTCGCTGATTAAAAGATATCGAATTTTTACCGTCGAGGTGATACAAATTTTATGTAAAAAATTTATTTTGGGGGCTTAACTGACATTTAAAATCACCGGTCGCTTCAACCGTTGTCACTGAGATAACTGTTCATTCTACAAAAAAAAGTGCTTATAAACATTTCTGTTCAAAATTATCTCAGCTACATTTCTTGTTTGAAACATTTTTTTCTACAGCGTACAGATTTTTTGTAAATCGATGTTTTCAGGGGAAACCCGAGGAAAGGAATGGCAAACTTTTTAATCTTTTTTTGGGTCCCAAATTTGACATTCTCAGCAAAATTTAACTTGTTCGTGTTGGTTTTAGAGATGAAATATCTGAGGACTGGACTATTAATGATAATTTTTTTCTAATCAATTCAATACGTCTATTTAGACGTTGAAGTTAGAATTTGGCATAATATATATTTGTGAAATATCACACATATGTGATATTGGCATCTCCCACTTAAAAAGGTTTGAAGAACATGATAAGAATGGTAAAATTAGGATTATGATAAATAAAACACCTTATATTTCTAGATTATTTATTTTTTATGCTGGTATAGATGACTACATAATATTATCTAAGATAGCAGTAAGTTGTTAACCAAAAATAAAAACCATTCTTGAAACCCATCTAATTAAATACATTTTCTGAATTTAGAATTTTGCTTTCCCAACTTCTGGCGGATGAACCATTTTTTTTTACTTTTCAAAACTTTTTTACAATTTTTTTGTTTTTTTAATATAAGGAACTAAAGCATTTATATTGCGCAATATATGTATGCTGGTAATATAGGTATTTCTTGCTGATGTTAAGCATACATTTTTATTCCAGTTCATCTCTGCTAAGTCTGAACCTGGCAAAATCTTCAAACACGATGTTATCATCATCGTCGTTTGCAAAGCTTTTCTCGTACCGTCCTTTATCAACGGATTTCATCTTTTTCAAGCTCTGAGAACGATCTTTATCCATTGTACCAGGAGCTGGATGTAAAAGCTTGAATGGTACATCAGTCACCAATTCCCCTCCCAGAGTTCCACAATTCAGTTTCACTCTCAAAGAGTATGATATTACGATACCGATGGCATCGATAGGGCACTTTCCATCCGGAACCAAGGTGGAACTAGCCAAATTGGCATCGTCATCTCGCAGACGACCATCTAAGGCTACACCTGCAATTAGAACACAATTTACATAATATATTGTATTTAAAATCAAAGAAATATTTACAAAGACGTCCAATATAAATTGTTTGTGATTGGGCTTTTACTAATATCATTTCAACAGAGAGACTTTTTCCAACACAACTGTTCTCTAACCATTTGTATTCTGTTTGGTTAAGTAATAATTGAAGTGTAGAAATAATATCAAAATCTGCACATGGAATGTCAAAACTTTATACAAAGCAGGCAAAATCCACAATGCAATACAGGAGATAAAGAGAATGCATATTGAAATCATGGGAATAGCAGAAATGAGATGGCCAGATTCTGGAGAAATATAAATAGAAGATCACAAGGTATATTACTCGGGAAAAGATGATGGATTACATGAATATAGGGTAGGAATAATTTTATCACCCAAGGTTGCTAAATGCGTTCCTAACTTTACACCAATATCAGAGAGAGTGATGTTACTACAAGTAGAAGCCAACCCTATTAATATAAACATTATCCAAGTCTATGCTCTCACTGTAGACAAAGAGGAGGAAGAAGCAATTGACTTCTATCAGAACATCAACAGTATCATACAGAAAATTCTTCTACAGGAAGTTCTTATCATTATGGGCGATTTCAAGACGATGCCAAGATTGGAGCTGGAGATAAAACACAGTACATTGGAGCACATGGACTTGGAGTCAGAAACGAGAGAGGAGACCTCCTAGAAAAATTCGCAGAAGACTCAGAACTAGTTGTCACTAACACATTCTTCCAATTACCACCTCGCAAGCTGTACACGTGGAAATCCCCTCAGGACAGACCCAGGAGAATTATTAGGAATCAAATAGACTACATTTTAGTAAATAAAAGATTCCGAAACTGCTTTACATCTGTCAAGACTTATCCTGCAACATATTTGGAGACAGACCACGTTCCACTGGTGTTAGTATTTCGAGTCAAACTCAAAACAGTGCAAAAAAGAAAAGCACAATCATACGACCTATGCATGCTGAAAACCCTTAAAGATGAGAGTCCAAGCCAAGTTAAACGAACAAGTCACTGCAATTAGATACGAATCGAACGAAGAACAAAGGATCAAACAAATTACAGAAATAGTGCAAAATGTAAAGGATAAACACTTAAAGACAGATAGATTAATGAAGAAAAAATCTTGAATGACAGATGAGATCCAGAAAGTAATAGACGAGAGAAGAGAAGCCAAAAATGACGCAGACAAATATAACACCATAAATATATTAATAAGAACGAAAATCAGAGAAGCGAAAAAAAAAAGAAGCAAGGGAAAGATGCGAAGAAATTGAGACTCTGCAGTCAAAATACGATAGTCACAATGTACATAGGAAAGTTAAATAACTCACAGAAGGACTAAGACGAAAGCAAAAGAGAAATATAACTGATTCTGACAGAAACATTATTTTGGACAAACTGAATAAAATAAGAACGTGGAAAGAATATCTAGAAAAACTATTTAAAGACCAAATAGATAACATCTTTGAGCTAGAAGAAGAGGTAAATGATGGACCAAGAATATTACAGCAGGAAGTTTATTCCGCAATAACACAGTTAAAGGATGGCAAAGCTCCAGATCCTGATAATACACAAGCGGAACTACTCAAACTAATGGACAACGCATCAATAGCAATAATCGCAAAGATATTCAACAACATATACAACTCTGGAGAAATACCAACATGATTGCTGAAATCTAAGTTTATTGCATTTCCAAAAAAACCAGGAGCCAAAAAATGTGAAGATTACCGTACTATTAGCCACATGAGTCATCTCCTAAAATTGTTCTTAAAGATAATTATAAAAAAATCTACAAGCTCTGTGAAAGTCAAATTTCCCCCAACCTGTTGGGGTTCACAAATGCTGTTGGTACTAGAGAGGCTTTGTTCTCAATACAAGTCTTATTCCTGAGATGCAAACACGTCAACTGCGACGTATACGCATGTCTGGTTGATTACGAGAGAGCGTTTGATCGAGTACAGCACGCCAAGATGATGCAAATACTAAAAGAAGCAGGAATTAACAATCAAGATCTGAAAATAATTAGAAATCTTTACTGGAATCAGACAGCAAATCTCAGAGTTAAAGGTGAACACACTGATTATGTGAAAATCATACATGGACTGAGGCAAGGCTGTATTTTGTCTCCTCTAATCTTCAATATGTATCTGAAAGAATATTTATTCAAGCTTTGCACGAAACTGAAAAAGGTATTCTACTAAATGGTTACCGGCTTAACAACATCATATATGCAGATGGCACCATAGTATTTGCGGACAACTTAGAAGACCTACAAGTTCTTATGAACAAAATCACGTATTACAGTCAACAATATGGACTCAATATTAACGTTAAGAAGACAAAGATTATGATAATTAGCAAGAAAAGGATAACAAAAGGTCAACTCTACGTCAACCAATCTCCTGTAGTGCTCTTTCTAGAGTAGTTGCACTACAACTACCTCGGCACTATAATAAATGAAGAATGGACCAACAACCAGAAGATTAGAGCACGCATCGCAAAAGCTAGATCCACTTTCAATCGGATGGGGGCCTTCGTAAAGAGTCACAACCTCTCTCTTGATACAAAAGTAAGAATGCAACGATGCTACGTCTTCTCTGTCCTTTTATATGATGTTGAACCGTGGACCTTGAACGAATATATGTGCAAAAAACTGGAAGCATTAGAGATGTGGCTATATCGAAGAATACTTAAGATCCAGTGGACTGACCGAGTCACAAATGAGGAGGTCCTTAGAAGAATGAATAAGAACCGAGAGGTACTGACCACCATTAAATCTCGAAAGTTACAATTCGTCGGACATATTATGCGAAATGAATCCAGATATGCTCTCCTTAAAGCCATCCTGCAAGGAAAAATATTTGCAAAGCGAGTTCCGGGAAGAAGAAGAACATCTTGGTTAAAGAACCTCAGAATCTGGTTTAATACAATATCTGTGCAGCTTTTCCGCGCTGCTGCAGATAAGATAAAGATTGCCATGATGATCGCCAACATTCGTAACGGATAGGCACATCAAGAAGAAGAAGAAGTAAATATTTTTGAAGTGGGGTATTCCTATTTAATGTACATAATATTGAAACAATCAATTGATAAAAATCAATCTTTTTTGAGCTGTTTTAGGAAAGAATAGAGATTTTTATATTGTTTAAAAGTAGGTATTAAAAAACCGTTAATTGATATGAGTAAATAACTGAGTCTTAAGAGGAGAATATAATGGAACGAGTACATTAGAAGGAAGAAATTGAGGGTAATATACATTGCAATTAAATTAAAGTGGCACCCTACATATAAACACGTCAACAATGTCCAAGAACACAAAGTTTTTTTTCCCATATATACATAAATTTTGATTGGATTTTACAAAGTGACATACCGTTATAATGCCTGATTAGTCAGCAATAAATACAGCGTTTTAAGAATTGTCTAAGTAAGAAGATCTTAAAGACCTTATCTAGTATAAACATTGTGCAGATGAGGAGCAATCTGTCTCTGAAGCACATCTCATACATGCACGATGGGATTAAGATCTGGCGATTGTGCTGGCAACAGTAAAAGTGTAATATCCTCATTATGAATCCAATCTCTTACTGTTGCTGCAGTATGTGGTCTTGCATTTTCCTGCATGTAAAGCAAATCACGACCTACAACAGTGGCAAATGAAAGGACACAGGTTCTTAAATACAAAATAACTTGTAGACCACTATATAGACGAACACCTTTAGGGAAAGAAAAATGCTATACTGATGATACTTAGATGTCGGTTGTATACCACAAATCACAAAGATTTTAAATAGGTAACAAGAAATAAAATAAGACTTACTCACAATCTATTTAATTCTACCAGGTGTCACCAGCTAATCCAGGATAGTTTGAACTATGTTTTCTAAATCACTAATAATTCTTGTACCGACATGTAAGTAGTATTTATTGGTTATTTACTAATTTAATTTCAATTTATTAGATTAATTTGTGCCATTTGTTTTTACTTTGTCTGCTTTAATCAATTTAATTCATATTAATAATCACAATATTGGCATAATTCCTGTATTATTTTTCTTTATTAGACAGCACCCTAATGTATTAATTTTGTAATTTTAGTTTTTAATTTACCATGTACCGTTAGACCTGAAGATGCATAGCAAATTGTAGTACGCGAAACCGGTCGTTGGTCGTAGAATTAAATAGATTGTAAGTCTTATTTTATTTCTTTTTACCTATTTCAAATGGACTCACACAGGTGGCACATTTAAGGTTCACAAAAATTTTATTTAAAAAATTATTTATAAAAAAGTATATTTATGTAAAAAGAGCCCTTTCGCGCTATATAACAGAACGTTTTCGGAATGATAATTCCATAATCAGTGCTGTTATTAGGTATACATGAGTGCAGCCACTAAATAGCTGGGTAAAATCGCTTTAAATGTTATTAAATGCTGATAAATTTATATGATGTTAAAGTTTTTAAACAGATTTACTTCATTAATTACTATTAAACTGGGAATAAGCCACAATTAAAGATAAAAATACGTTTATTGACGTTTCAATTTCCACTTCGGAAATCGTTCTCAAAATACAAACAGTAAATTAAACAAATTTTGTTTTTTGTTACATAGTGAAAAATTCTTCTAATAATTTAATTTTATCTCACTCATTTATATTGACAATTCAGACATACATTATGCATTTTAAAGTAGACGACTTTAAAATGATATTGCCAATATTGTTGAGTTGCGCTCCTGGGACGACTTTACTTATAAGATAGTTCATTCGATTACATGAAATCAACTTTAACTTGAGAATATCCGTCAGAAAAAAAAAATCATAGCATGTAATTCGTCTTTAAAAAGACAAACACATGACATGATGACAGTAAAATTCTCCTGTTAGTGATTCCATAGTAAATTATAGGGAAAAACCAGGAAAAAAACTCATAATACTCTCCCGACATTGTAAGTATTTGTTCGTGAATTTAGTTTACCTTCAACAAACATCAAAATTCTGATTTTATATGTTACGTTATTTATAAAAACATAAATGATGTATCCTCTATATGTTACTGACTTACTAATACTGGTATTTTCTTATTAATAACTTCCTCTTTCAATATTGGTAACCAGATCCTACTACATTCTGCCGAGGAATTTGCGACACATTTGGCCTCATTTAGCATAATTAGAGCCGATTCTTGATTTTTCTTTTTTTACCATCCGTTTCTTTTAAGACTACATTTGAATTATTCCATTGAACCCTATGTTCATTATCCCATGCGTGTTTTACAGATTTGAGATCTATCAAATTCCCTATTTTTAATATAAGATTGATGTTCACTTATTCTAACATTTAATGGCCTTGATGATTCACCTAAATAAAACTGATCGCATTCACAAGGTATTTTATAAATGCAATTCTTTGTCCTTTCTTGTTCATTGTTAGGTTTGGTTTTGGACAAAATAGATCTCAACGTGTTTGTTGTTTTGAATGTTGTTGAAATGTTGAATTTATTTCCTCTCCTTTTAAGTTTTTCTGATAGTCCTTTTATGTACGGTATTGTTATTTTCCTCATATTATTCCTTGTGTATGCTGTAGGATCTCGTTCTAAGTTGTTCTGTTCTATTCGATCGATTGTTGAAAATTCCTTATTTATAAACGATAAAGGATAATCATTTTTTAATAAAACAGAGTTAACAAATGTTTCTCCTCCAAGAACGAATTTTCGTTAGAACAAGTAATTTTGGCTCTATCGTATAAGGATTTAATTATTCCCTTTTTTACATTAATATTGTGATTTGATTTGAAATTTAAATATCTATTGGTGTGTGTTGGTTTTCTATACACCTGAGTCTCATATCCAGTATCGTTCTTAGAGATTAAAACATCCAGGAAAGCTAGCGTGTTATTATATTCCTTTTCCATGGTTAATGTTATTGTCTCTTCTTTATCGTTTATATCATTTAGGAATGTGTCCAACAACTCTGATCCATGAGCCATATTGAGAATACATCATCTACATACCTCCACCATACTGTGGGTTTGAAATTTTGTTTAGAAATGATATTTGTTTCAAAATCTTCCATAAATATATCGGCTAAGAATGGAGATAAACTAGAGCCCATTGCTAGACCAAAATTTGTTTATAGAATTCATTATTTAGTTGAAAATATGTATTATCAGTACATAATGTTAATAACTCCATTATAGCCGATATGTTTAGTCTTGTTCTAGTTGCCAATGAATCATCACTCTCTAATTTTGTTTGACTATACTTAGTCTTATTTAATGGCACATTCGTAAATAAACTATTTATGTCAAAACTTACCAAAGTATGATTTGAATTAAATTCAATATTTGATAATTTATTTAAAAAATGTTGTGTATTTTTTTATGAATGTGTCATTTTTATTTGTAAATGGTTTTAAAATATTTAATAAAAATTTTGATAGTTCACTACAAGGAGAATTCATTATACTACAAATGGGTCTAAGTGGTATATTCGTTTTATGAATTTTCGGTACTCCATGAAAATGTAATGAGGTGTAATTAATCCTCTCTGATAACTTGTTAAAACATCTTTAAACTTGAATAAAGTTCTATATATTTTGTTTTCCAAAGACCTTTTGTTAATTTTGTATAAGGTCCGTTTATTAATAGATCTTTAATTTTATTTTCGTATTGAATTTTATCCATTATCACAGTTGCATTCCCCTTGTCTGCTGGTAGGATGATTATGGAGTCGTCATTTTTTAAAGTTCTTATAGCCTTTAGTTCCTCTTTGCTTATGTTTTGTTCAATTTTAGTAGATTTTTCCAATTCAAGTTTACATAACACTCTGTATTCTTCCTTTTCCTTTCCTTTGAAAAGCAAATCTTCAATACTTACAATATCTTGTTCAACAAAAAATAAGTTCGATCTATGATATTGTAATCTTTCTCGGATCATGGACAAACTGGCTCTATGTAGAATGTTTTCCAACCTTCTGCTTGAATATGCTGGACGTTACTTCAAGCCCTTTGGTATTAGGTTGTTATCTCTACATCTTCGTAAAAATTCAATTGAATTTTGACAGTGTGCCAGTTTCTTGTATAGAATTTCCAATCTCCTAAAACACTGGGCCCATAACGGTTTCTTAACATTGTTCTGAAGCTATTTTCTTGTGGCATTGTAAATTAATTACTATTAAATTGGGAATAAGCCACAATTAAAGATAAAAATACGTTTATTGACGTTTCAATTTCCACTTCGGAAATCGTTCTCAAAATACAAACAGTAAATTTAACAAATTGTGTTTTTTGTTACATAGTGAAAAATTCGTCTAATAATTTAATTTTATCTGACTCATTTATATTGACAATTCAGACATACATTATGCATTTTAAGTAGAACGACTTTAAAATGATATTGCCAATATTGTTGAGTTGCGCTCCTGGGCATAATTCAAGCAGAAAATGAAATTAAGCTCCTGTTTAAACCAACTAAGGGTTTAAATTAGGACATGGTAGCTGTTTATTTATTATAGAGGATGAAGAATGTCATAATTATATGATAAGAAAGTATCAAACGGAATATGATGGGTCATGTCTAACAATGAATGTGACAAAATGTGTAAATCTAATAGTCGACAAAGACGAAATATCTGACAAAATTGTAGAAACATGTAAATGTTTAGGTATAATATTTAAAACTAAGGGCAATAGTGCAAATTAAATCAGAAAGAATACACAAAGGTAGAGCTGGTAAATTTCTGTCATAGAAATTGCTAGAGAAATTAACTTACGACAGAAAATATGAAAAAAGTGTTAACCCAAACACTAAGACAAGCGTAGAGAATTCGTGTATTTACATTGGTAAGATTGATGTAAGTATGTAACAATGTTAATTGGTTGATTGAGATCGAACGAAATAAATGTACTGATGTTAATTTCAATACTGGTTTCCTTGATATATGCTTGATAGATACTTAAAATAAATTGGGATACACCATTATATCACAGGAAATAAAAACTTAAATATGATATTACAAACCTCTGCGATCCTTATTGCTGGATGCAAGTGGTACAAGATATACCACTTTAGTGAAACTTGCACCTGGTGTTATAGGGCATCCTTCACGAGTCTCCAAACTGGCAACGTACTTTGAGAATTGGGCATTGACCATTGTTACCTACAAAAACATAATTTAATGATAAAGGTAAAAAAACTTCTTCTTCTTCTAGTTCCATGACCGTTATCGATCGTTGGATATCATGTTGGCTACCATATTCGCTATCGTGACTTTATTGACAGTAGCTCTAAATAACGATGTAGTTGATTTTCCATACCATTGCCTTAGATTTTTCAGCCATGATGTTCTTCTTCTACCAGGACCACGATTACCTTGGATCTTTCCCTGATGATCAGATGTAAAAGATCATATTTTTCAGGGTGTCTCATAATATGACCGAAGTATTCCAGCTTGCGTTTTTTTATTATATTGACCAGTTGTGTTGTTTGGTTCAGCCGTCTAAGGACCTTCTCATTTCTAACTCTGTCGACCCAGCTTATTTTCAGTAGTCGTCTGTATACCCACATCTCAAAGGCTGTCAAGCGTTTAAGCATAGCCTCAGTTAGGGTCCACGCTTCTACTCCATACAGCAGGACAGGAAAGATGTAGCAAGATATCATACGAACTCTAAGGTCAATGCTAAGATCGTGACTGCAAAGTACGTTTCTCATTTTTACAAAGGCAGCTCGGGCTTGTTCTATTCGGCTTTTAATTTCTGCGGTTGGATCCCAGCTCTCATTGATATTACTGCCGAGATACACGAGTTTCTCTACTCTGTCCAGTGTGGCATCTCCGACTTTTATACCGTCATCATGTATATAATTTTGTTTGCTATCATATATTTAGTTTTCTTAACGTTGAGTTTTAATCCATACTGATCACAAGTCTGTTTTATTTTGTTCGTTAGATTTTGAAGGTCTTCTCCGCAATTGGCAAGGACTAAGGTATCGTCGGCATATCTAATATTGTTGACGGTTACTCCATTCACAATAATACCTTCGGTTGTCTCCATTAAGGCTTCCTTAAATATTTCCTCCCAATATAAGTTAAAAAGTAAAGGCGACAATATACAGCCTTGTCTCACTCCTCTTTTTATATTTATTTCATCCGACAGTTCTTGTTCAACCTTTATTCTTGCCACTTGATGCCAGTATAGATTTGTAATTATTCGTAGATCTTTATCGTCCAATCCAGCTGTTTCCAATATTTCTAGCATTTTGTTATGTCGGACTTTGTCAAAAGCTTTTTCAAAATCGATTGCACAAATATACATATTTTAATTTATATCTCTGCATCTCTGTACTAGCATCTGTATACTAAACAAGGCTTCTCTTGTACCCAAGCCACTCCTAAACCCAAATTGAGTATTGCTAATTCTGTCCTCTAACAGCGTGTAAATTCTGCTGTGTATTACTCACAGAAAGATTTTCAAAACGTGACTCATCAGACTTATTGTCCGATAATCACCGCATGTCTTTGGACGATGTTTCTTAGGTATTGTGACAAATGTCGACTTTAACCAATCAGTTGGTAATATCCCAGTGTCATAAATTCTGTTAAAGAGATTACACAGAGCTTTAATTCCATTTTTCTCCCAAAAACTTTAGTATTTCAGCACTTACTTCATCGGGACCAAGTGCTTTTCCATTTTTTGCCGTTTGTATTGAACGTCTTACCTCACTTTCTGTTATAGATGGACATGATATAGCAATCGGTGTATAGTGTTCTACTCTCTCATCTTCAAATAATTCAGAAATGTAGTTTTCCCATTCTTTTGCCTGCTGTAAAAAAACTGCCTACTCAAAAATTCAAAGAGGTTATTATTTAGCAGTATAGAGGAATTTTTCATATTTCAATTAATATTTTAAATATCTGAGCGAGGTTAATAGGATTTCTCGTGATTTTCATAACATTTTTCCTCCGCAGTCGATAATAAACTGAAGCCTTCTAGTTTTATGGTCTCAGCCGCTGACAACAATTACAAATAGACGATAAATGCCGCCATATTTTAATTTAATATATTACATTTCATAGTTTTCAAAATAAATATTAAATATTTGTTATTATTATATTATTATTCACCAGATGTATGACATGACTAGTGAGTAATCTCAACAAATGTTGTATAATTCTGCCAAATAGAGTTTTTTCTTCGAATATTTGGCCTTGGAAATAACAATAAATATTAAATAAAATTGAGTTGTTGAGTTAGAAGGTTGATGAAAAAAGGTATTTTAAACAACGGCGTATTCGGCGTACTACAAAGGAGATCAATCATTTTAAGAGAACAGAAGGTATTATTGTTAATGGTATAACCGTAAACAATATTAGATATGCCGATGATACTTTACTGCTAGCTAATTGCGGAGATAACCTTCAAAATCTAAGGAACAAACTAAAACAAACCTGTGATCAGTATGCATTAAAACTCAACTTTAAGAAAACTAAATATATGATAGTTAGCAGACAAAATTGTATACAGCATGACGGTATAAAAATCGGAGATGTCGTACTGGAGAGTAGAGAAACTTGTGTATCTCTTCAGCAATATCAATATCAGCTGGGATACAACCGTAGAAATTAAAAGCCGCATAGAACAAGCCACTTTTGCAAAAATTAGAAATGTAGTTTGCAGCCACGATCTTAGCATCGACCTTAGTGTTCATAGGGCATATTACTATAATTTTCCAGTGCTACTTTATGTAGTGGAAGTGTGGACCCTAAGGTAGGCGATGCTTAAACGCTTGGAATCCTTTGAGATGTGGTTATACAGACGCCTACTACGAATAAGCTGGGTCGACAGAGTTAGAAATGAGGAGGTCCTTAAACGCCTTAACCAACTCATACAACTGGTCAAGACCAGTTAATAAAGAGACCAAGTATAATAAAGAGACACAAGCTGGATTACTTCCGTCACATTAAGAGACACCCTTAAAAATATGAACTTTTAAATTTGATTAGTCAGGGAAAGATCCAAGGTAAAAGTGGTCCTGGTAGAAGAAAAATATAATGGCTGAAAAATCTAAGACAATGGTATGGAAAATCGACTACATCATTATTTAGCGCTGCTATCAATATAGTCACGATAACGAATATAGTAGCCAACATGATATCCAACGATCGATAAGGGTCATGGAATTGGAAGAAGAAGAAGAACGAGGGTATTAATTCTATTAACATATCCATCCACACCACTCTATTCTTCTTTATGGTGTCGAAGCCTGGACTGTTAATGTTGACTTAATGAGAAAACTGGAAGCTTTTGAGATGTGGCTTTTTAGGAGAATTTTGAAGATACCATGGACCGATCATATTACGAACGAAATGGTGTTGCACAGAATGGAAAGAGACAGAGAACGTCTGACCACCATTAAAAGGCGAAAGACAGCATATTTCGGACATATACTTAGAAATGATAAGTACCAGTTGTTGCAGCTGATTATAAAGGGAAAAATCGAAAGAAAAGGAGGTCCTAGTAGACGACAAATATCCTGGTTGAAAAACATTCGCAACTGGACCGGGTTAAACACACAAACGCTCTTAAGAAAAGCAGAAGATAGAGACGAATTTGCAATGGTTATAGATAACCTTCATTAGTGGAGACGGTACTAGAAGAAGAAGAACATATCAATTCTGCAATATGTGCGTTTTCTAACGAGATATTCATAATACAGGATCCTGCAGCTGATATCTGAAGAACAATTCGACATAATGCAACAGTTCCACAATGGTGCATAGGACATATAATAAAGTTATTATTTTCGTAATTTTAGACTAGTTTGAGACTATAAATGGTGAAAAAAATGTGAAATTAAATAGTTTAATTAAAGAAAAAGTCCACTGGGTGTAGTTACTGAAATTAAGATACATGTCTGTAATAAGATCTAGGAGGGAATAGGAATTTCTGCAATATAAGAAAATATGTAAAAAAACTTAAAAAATAGATAAAAAAATGTATTGTACTGTGGTATTGTGGTAAGTATATAGAAGACTGAGACCGCCATAGGTTTTGATAAAGACTCCAAAGATGGAGCAAGTTCGATACGTTCGAATCTATAACTATAAATTTAAATTACCTCACAATGCTGTACAACATACACCTTGATATTTCTGACTTGCTTTCTCGAATTATTGCTGATCATCACGTTCGCCCCGATCTTCTCTCCGTGATAATAGATGTCCTTATCGAGAGTGACTTCCAGGTTGATCTTTCCACTGGAGAATGTAAAACCTTTGGACACCAAAGAGCTTGGAAGACGACTGGCACCCTTGATAGCTGGAGCGTACTGTAGTTTCTTAATTGCTAGCTGGACGATGCTACGTTTGTGGCCTTTGTCCTCTTCATTGGAGCCCACATAACATTTAACATAATATTCAACTCCCAGAGGTTTACCCTGGTCGTCCTCACCTACAAACAACAGAAATATGTAAGCGTATATATTCAAACTACGTTTAGTCAAGATCTCACCTGGTTGAAGAGTAACGGAACATGGTGACATATCAGGAAAATGGAAGGTAAAGGGATGGGCACTTGCCCCCAATTTGCTGATCAGTTTTTCCTGCACTGGAGTCAACGGTTGTTTCTCCTTCAAGGGCACCAGTTGTTCACTGGCTACGACCATTTCCTTACTGAATTTGACTCCCATGACTTCATCCTCTTCTCTACCATAGCGGTAGACGGTGAGGACCTACGTTTTAAATAATGTAAAAGAAATAGTAAGGTACAATAGTCCATATTGTTAAAATATGAGAAAAAGTTAAAACAAAAATTAAATAAAACTCAGAACTTTGATGTATGCATAATTTCAATTCATATGCATGGCAAAATCTGTGGCTACAGCAAAAAGAATTTTATCAAAAATAAACAACTAAAATCATTCGTAAATAAAAACAAAGAAAGGTTATATAAAAATGGACGAAAAATTTTCAAAATCCTACTATAATTCGGTATTCTGTTAAGCTGCTAGAGACGGTAATAGAGCACAGTTGCCTCGAAAAAAAATGAATAAAAAACAAATCTACAGCTTGTTTAAAATGTAATTAAATTTTATTATATAACGGATCGTCACTCGTCACGAAATCATTATATAGACCTACAACACACAACAATTCGTGTTTATGCATTATGTGTAGGATAATAATTATATGCTAAACAAAATCACAAATGAAGTCCTACATATTAAACCTATGGAGGAGTGTAGAAAATTGAAACGGCAGTATACATGTTACAAGAATTCATTACAATGCACACAAAAAATCGCACTAGTATACTGAGAGAAAAAATTATCAATCCTATAACTGAAGCAAAACAGACAACAAAAAAGCAGAGAAAACAATAGATAATAAACAAAAATTGAAATGTGGTGTTGAACTAGGAACCTCGTTCCCAATATTTTCTGCCACTGAAATTTTGTACAGTATCTATTTCATTCAAAAATTCTGAGATTGTAGACATGTTACATTTGAATAAAAATTAAATAAATGACGACATGAGAAGATCTCGTAGATATTTGGTAATTGTCTACAATAATATATACTATGGTTCTAAAAAAGCCAATAAAAATAATATTAAGAACACTATTTACCTGCCCGTAGATCTTTCTGCCCTGCAAGTATCCATCTTCGACAACGACCACTCCATCTATGGGATCTGTGTGGTCTAGATGATCGATGAAGTCTCTCTTGCTAAGATATACCGTGACTTTACCATTAGGTGTTGTTTTCTTGAAAACTTTAACGGCCACCACCATTTGTTGTTGTTTAGAAAGGTTGAAGGCGAGTTAGTCGAACTTGCGATATGAGTTGCGGTTGGTACTTCCACCAGAAGTGAAGAGAGCGTGGAGTTTGAGAGTTTTTAAATGATTTCTAAGGGTTTCCTAACAGGATTAGAACGACTAATTGGATATACCGACGAAGGATTTCCTTGACTAATTGGACGTGGGGTGAATTTGTATGCGTTATGTAAACGTGTTGGTTCATTTTATTATTAGAACAAATTTCAACCGAAAACTGCGATGTTCCAGAAAAAATATACATATTTCCTATAAAATGATTTAAGTGGATTAATGACAACGTGTCAGAAAGTAATATTGTTAAATAATTGTTAATATTTTTTTTGCTTCGATAATTGTCATTCAGCAGTTTCAATCGTTTTATTATTGTAATAATAATAATAATATAATTATTTCTTACTTAGCAAATATACATACTATCATAATAAATACTATATTATACCTATATTATAATTCAGTTGTTAAAATACGTCATCTGAAATACATAGTGTATAATATATTTTGAAATAACTTTCTTTATTTTTTAGTGCCATCTATTTACTGGGTTATTTATTTTATCCGATACAACTCAGGATATCATCATCATCAACAGCTATTCCATCCATCGTCGGATGTAAGCGTATTTTAGGTGTGTCCATTCATTTCTGTTTGTTATTTTTTGCATTCAGTCGTGACCAGCCATTCGCTTGATGTCATCAGTCCATCTGGTTTAAGGTCTGCCTGTACTTCTCTTGTTTGCTCTTGGTCGCCATTCAATAATTGTCTTCGTCCAACGTTTGTCTACCATTCTTCCTATGTGTCCGGCTCAGTTCCATTTTAACATGGACTACATTTTGGACTACATGTGTAACTTTTGTTCACTTTCTTATTTCTTCATTGGACTTGCGATCGGTGAGCTTAATGTTGAGTGTTCTCTGTTCTATAACTGTCTAAGTCACTTGAAGTTTGTGTACTATGCTGTTGTTAAAAGCCCATATTTCAGTTCCATATGTCCGTACCGGCAGCACATACTGATCGAAAGTTTCTACCTTTAAAGTATTTGTTAAGTTTAATTTAAATACTGTTTGTAATATGACGAATGCTGCTTATGCTAAGGAACATCTTCTATCTAAGTCAGCCTTTAAGTTAAGCTTTATTAATTCGATTTTTTGTCCTAAGTAAATATATGACTCAACCTTTTCTATATCATTATTGCCCAGCGTTATATCCTCAGTTATACCAGAGATTCGTTTGTGGTTTTGTTTTTGCTAGATTTACTTTTAGCCCCATTTCTTTTGATTTTGTATTTAGGTTTAACAGCATTTCCTGCACTTTTCTGTCTTTTGCTATTAACGCAACATCATCGACAATCTCAGGTGGTTCAGGTTTTCTAACCCCCCTCTGTAGTTTTATTTTTTCTGTTCTTAATTCTGTTTTTACTTGCGATGTTGCATTGTCATATAATATACTTAATGATTTTTGTATATTGGTCATCAATTCTATTGTTACTTAAGGCGTTAAGGATGGCTCAAATTTCTATGAAGTCAAATGCCTTCTCGTTATCTACCATAGCTATGCAAAGTGTTATTTTGTATTCGTTTGATTTTTCAATTAGTGTTCTTATTAGTTGTATATGATCTATGGTACTATAACCTCTACTAAATCCTGCCTGCTCTCGAGGCTGATAACTATCCAGTTTGTTTGTTAGTCATGATGTAATTATCTTCACAAACAGGTTATATAAGACTGGTAACAGGCTAATATGTCTAGTTCTATCAAGTGTTAAATGAACAATCAAGCAAAAATGTATCAAACATAGAAGTGCATATAGCTGAAATTAAAGAATAATACCTGACGTACGAAGAAGTAACCCAGACAATTAAAAAAATTAAAAATAATAAGGCACCAGCAGCGATGGTATACCCGCAGAGTACGTTGTACAGATCTACAGAGCGTTTCAAGATGTTTTAATACCCTATAATTCAGGAAGTAATATATATATTTTTATTTGAAAATTGGGAAATGTCAATTGAACTTATACTTTCAATTGATGTATACTTGAGATATGTCACGTCACATTTAGTTTTGGTCAGATGAAAGGGTTTTTTTATCCCAAATTCAACGGTGTACCACATTTTCAATTAAATGATTAAATATGAAATAATTTTATAGGAGGTATTCAAATTTTAGTTTTTAAATCGTCTACATCTGCAGCTTCATTTTATAACGATTAAACGCCCATTTAATAACCCACACCAAATATTCCCCATCTAGTTTGAAAGCGAGTTAACCAGTGCAAATTTTCCTCCTGAATTTTCTGAAAAATTAACTATCTTTGTTGCTGGAGAACATTTCTTTACGCGAAAGAGAATTTATGGTATGACAATAAGTTGGCGTACCCCCACATAACAGCAGTTGCACAGTATTTTAATCAATTATCTTCTTCTTCTTGTAGTGCCTATCCATTTCGTGTATATGCGACCATCATCACAATCTGTATTTTGCACACTGCTGCTCTGAAAAGATTTGTGGTTGTTGTGTTGAACCACATACGTAGATTTTTCAGCCAGGAAATCCTTCGACTTCCTTATCCTTATTTTCCTTCTACTTTTCCTTGTAGAATTAATTGCAAGCAACCCATATCTTTCGCTGTTCCTCATCAATTAGCTTAATGCCACATTTTAAACAGATGGATTGGAACTAATGGACCCTTTCAACTCCAACATCGCGTGTGCCAACACCCTTAGATTTTTTTCTCTCTCTTCTTCCTTTTTTTATGTAGACACTTATGTTTATACAGGTCTACACGAAAAAATATGAATGAATTCTCTAAAAGTCTGTTAAGCGGCCGCTAGATGATCAATATGTACGTCAATGTAGAGTAATTATTGAACTTGAACTTAGTAGTTGCTAATCTCAAAACACTAATTTTTACCTGTCTTCTTTAGGCTTGAAAATGATCATTTTTGCTCTTTAATTATTTAATATCTGATCAAATTTTAAATAAACTTGAAAACGATAAACTTAACAAGATAAGTTACTTAGTATCTTGTTTGTTCAGAATGAGAAAAATCTAAAATTAAATTATCTTGTCAAAGAAATTGACCAGACAATTTATTGGCCACGGAATTTTTGAGTGGCCGACATCTTGATTATTATTCTGGGGCATCTCACGACTGTGTTTCTAAAAAAAATCATAAGTTGCTAGAAGAAAATTGGGTAGACCAAAGCTCAGGTGAATAGACGGAGGATGTCTGAGGCAGAGAAGATCGGCGCTCATTAATAAAATTCAAGCACAGAACAGAACAATTTGCAGCAGGGTATTTGAGAAGATTGAGATCTTTGATAATAGTGAGATAAGTGTTACTGATGTTGACATTGCAACGTAAACAAGGCGTGAAAATACATTCCAGTTTATGGGTCACCCATTTGCACAGTTTAGTGTATTTGATCTAATCCGTATGGGACCTATAACGTACTACGGCGGTCCGATAAGTACTAAAAATACATTTTCTCGAAGTCTACAAAGGCGAGTGGCTTTTTAAAGTTTGGAAACAAATAGAAGTCGCTCGGGGCTAAATTTAGATAATAACGTGGATGTGGCAACAGTTCGTAGACCAATTTGACCAATTTCGCCATAGCGATGGCGGTGTATGAGCCAGTGCGTTGTCATTTTGGAAAAGCCAGAAAATGTCTTCGCTAAATGTGGTCATTTTTCGGTCGAATTGACCCAATAATTCGGCGTAGTAGAGCCCTGTGATCGTATTGTCCTTCTCTAGGTAGTCGATATAGATCACCCTTTTTAAGTCCCAGACAATAGTGGCCATCACCTATCCGGTCGATAGGACAGTCTTCGCCTTTTTCGAAGTAAATTCACTGTTTTCCGACTGTTCGTTGCTCTCTGGTGTGTACCAGTAAATCCATGTTTCATCGACGGTTACGAAACGACTCAGAAACTTTTGTAAATTACGCTTAACTACCGTCAAATACTGCTCTGAAGTGGTTTCACGGTTGAATTTGTTGCCCGGAATAACCAAACGCGCACCCATCGCACCGACAGATTTCTCATGCCCCAAATTTCATGCAGCTATCTGAGCCTATTTAGCCTGCAGCTATTACCTTGAGCTCTATCTCGCGTACCTTCAACCGGTGGTCTGAAAATACGAAATCATGGATTTTTGTCACGTTATCCCCTGTGGTAGCCATTTTCGGGGCACCGAGGCGAAGCTCATCAAAAACCGACGTGTGTGTGTGTGTGTGTGTGTGTGTGTGTGTGTGTGTGTGTGTGTGTGTGTGTGTGTGTGTGTGTGTGTGTGTGTGTCTGTCGAAACTTATTAAACCAATTTTTGACCAAAACAAAACTACTACTCCGATTGGGCTAAAATTTTGACATTAGCCATCTACGATAATGTATTACACAATAGTAGATTTCTCTTGAGGTAGTGGTGACCTCGGGCAGTGTGGCAAAGTATTTATCGGACCGCCGCGCCGTCCTGTAACTAACAGAAATCTCGAGCATTTTCATCATTCTTCGAATAATGTCTTATAATGATTCTCAATATATTAAAATCTTTGCGTATCTGAATCAAATATTTACGACCATCTGTTTTTATTCTGAAACTGATATACAGCATTTGATAAATATCACATAAAAAATATGAAACCTATAAATTTCAAGGGAAAATTGAGAATACCGAACTTCATCGTATTAGTACAATAAAATTTACCTGTATATCACGGGTTCTAGCCAATCATTTTATCATCATCATCAACCTGTATGTGTCCATTGCTGGATGTAGGTCTCCCTCAGCTCTTTCCATCTGTCTCTGTCTTGTGTGGCTTGCATCCAGTAATTGCTAACACACTTCATGTCGTCAGTTCATCTAGTTGGTGGGCGTTCTCCGCTCCGTAGTGCTTCTTGTCTTGGTCTCCACTCGACAATAGGTTTTGTGCATCGGTTGTCTGATAATCTACCCAATTCCATTACAGCGACGAGATTTTTTTGTTTTTTGATGGCAACGCGGTTTGGGATTCGATCTCTCAGATATACACCCAAC